AGATTGATATATCATTCCATGTGTGATACACATGCATATTAAAAAGAAAACTTTTAGAAAGATGTACAGAAAACTGGTAACAGTGATTATCTCTGAAAGAGAAGTGGAGTTGAAAGAGTAGTGATAAAGAGGTCTGCAATCTTTATTTGTAATGTTTGAAGTTTTTACCCTAAGAATGGATTTGATAAATTACTTACAGAAGTGAAAATAAATTTGAAAATATTTACTTGTGTGGAGACAAAGAGAAGGAAATATATGAAAATATAAACATCAAGAATCCTTATGAGCACAATTGAATTCTCAGTTGATTAGAGAGGTCAGCTTGTCAACTGCCCTTGTCAACTCCAGTTTCCTACAGCTGAATCCACAGTTCCCTTTCTGGAAATTCAGGCCCATCTCTGCTTCAGAGCACTCCTTCCAAGTATAGAAAGTTTATCAGCAAGCCTCTGCCCCACTTGCTTTTGGAACTTAGAATTAAATTATTCTGCTCACACAAAGGATTTAGTGGTCTACCCTAGACTACCTGTTCCCATGTATTCTTCTAAGGCACAGTATTATCTCTTTATTGACCTATCTCTCTGAATTTCAATAAGGTATTGAAAGTATTTTTCAGTACTTTTGTCTAGTTAATCTACCTAATGCTTGACTACTAAAAATCCTTCCCTGAATTCTTACCAGTACGGGAAATCCTGTAACTTTGCATAGCTTCTTTTGCCAGTCTACCTTGTGTCTTATTCCTGTACTCTTTATCTACACACAGTTGTCCTGCTGCATACAGACAAATGCCTTGCCTTACTTACTGTATTATCTTACTTCCAAACTGGACCAGTTTTAAAATTTTTATTGGAAGTACTACATCCTGGTCCTGGTGATTATATGAACCTCACCACTGAATACAGTACATTGGGGATATTTTGCCTTAGAAATACCTGCCTACCAAATGAGATAACAGGGTTCAGAATAAATGTCTAGTTTTATTAATATTATAGTGGAAGCCATGAACATTTTGTGAACAAAATTGAAATCAGTTGTTTCTCATTGAAATAAAAAACAGATTAAAAAAAGGGTCAATAATGGGTTAAATATGGGTCTTTCACCTAATTGCTAATACTCAATGATGACATTGCTGATAGAGTTTGGAATAAACCATATAAATGGTTGGCCTAATACATCAGAGTGTAACAAGTAAAACTTTGTCCCTAGTCTATATGTAAATACTGCTGATGTAAGTTATGAAAACCTGTTATTTGATGTTTTATCCAGTGTTTTTGTTACCAAACAAGTTTTCCCATTTCTGAGAATCTAATGTCATGTTGATGTCTCTCCTGTGGTTATTTCTGAATGTTACAGAACAGGCCATCCTGCTTGGAATAATTCATCCTAGCCTGAGAGCATCTTACAGGTCAACTACTTTGTAACTCTCTGTGTTAATAGCTAATGTTTACTTTTTAACATTTTTTTCTCCCTGTACTTCTAGCCCCCAAATTTCTGTTTCAGTGAATATTCCTTCAGAGCAAACAGTTCATTCTATTCCTTTTATTTCTAAAGTAGTATATGATATATGGGTAGGTCTTATGAAAACTGAAAACCAAGTTACAAATGTAGCATAAAGACAAATGTCAAATGACAAAAGTCAAATTGGGGCTGGAGATGAGATGGTTGTGAGAATAGTTGGAGATTCTGATTAACTTTAACAGGAAATTTGACCTCTTAAGGTTACTGTGCTGAATTGAAATACCAAACATAAGTTGTTAATATGTGAATAATATTGACTTAGTTCAAATAAGATGTTCAAATTGAGAGGATGAGAGAAGTCTGAGTCATCCAAGTAAAATGTGACAGGTTATGTTAGCAAAACAAGTTAAGTGGGAGTTACCTGAAACTATCAGGCTATGTTCTTGGCATCATCAGTTCCTCACTGCTGGAGCTACTTTTGTAGCTGTAATGTTTGCTACATATTTTCATGGTTCAATTTAACAAATTAAACTAATTAAACTAATTATAAAGGTATAATGATTTGAGGCAGATTCTTTCACTTATGAACACAACATGGGAATAGATTAGTCCTTTCGAATTATCATTTGGTTTTATAGATGCTTCAAATTATTCTATTTACTAGTCTAAGTTTCTAAATTTTAGGAGATAATTATTGTTGTCTCCTAGATTACAATTTACTTTTGACAAATTATCTGTATTCTAAGTGTCTCAGTATTATCTACTATTTAGCTTTTCAATATAGGGAAAGCACATTAGTACTAAAATTTAGTAACTTCAGGTGCCATATAATAAGAAAGAATGGTGGTGCTAAAATCTAAGTCTTTAATTACTTATTTGGAGTTGATATTGCTATCAGAAGCACCCACATTGTTCTAAATCCATAAGGCAAGATTTGTAGTTTGATGTTTTTTAAAAAAATTATCTTAAAGATCAATAGTACATTCTAATGACTTATCCAGAATTTATTTCAATAATGTGGTCTATGTGTGCCCCATAATTTAGCATACTAAGAAGGTACTGATTTCACACATTTTATACATTTATATTTATTTATAAAACAACTTGCCCCAGTGAGTATGGGGACATTTTTATGTCAGTAAAATGTTGAATTAATACATTTTTTGAGTAAAAGAATTTGTTTTACCACTTCATGCACACCAGGATGGCTATAATCAAAAAGGAAGATGATGAAAGTGTTGAAAAGAATATGGAGAAATTGATGCCCTCATTATTGCTTTTGGGAATGTAAAGTGGTGCAACCACATTGGAAAACAGTTTGGCAGTTCCTCGATAAATTAAAAATAGAGTGACCATATGACAGAGCAATTCTATTCCTAGATATATAATCAAGAGAAATGAAAGCATGTTTACATAAAAACTTGTCCACAAATGTTCATAGCAGCATTATTCATAATAGCCAAAATTTAGAAACACCTCGAATGTCCATCAACTGATGAATAGTTAAACAAAACGTGATATATCTATACAATGGGATATTATTCAACCATAAGGAATGAGGTATCGACTCATGCTACAACATGAATGAACCTTGAAGACATCAAAAGGCCACATATTATATGATTCCTTTTATATGAAATGTTCAGCATAAGCAAATCCAGAGACAGAAGGTACATTAGTGGTTGCCAGCCTGGAGGGAGAGGAATGGGGAGTGACTGCTAATGGACATGGGAAATTTTTAGGGTGACAAAAATGTTTTTCATTAGGTAGTGGTGAGTCATAACTTTGTAAATATACTAAAAACTACTGAATTATACACTTTAAAAAGTCAACTTTATGGTATATGAATTACATCTCGAAAATTTTATCAATGCTTACTTTTCCATATAAAAAGGAATTTTTTTAAATAAAATTATTTTTAAAATGTATGATTAATGCCAAGACTTTCAAAAAAAGTTAAGCACAAAAGCTGACATTTACGTTAAAACCTTGCTATATATAAAGTGATACATAATATACATTGTATGGAACTTCCACCAATCTGAATGTGAGATATTTTTGCCAAAGATAAAAGTGCCAAGAGTAGAGTAACCCATAGCAGATATCTAATACCTATTCTTCTCTGACTGTCCTTAAATGTTATTGTCACTTTCTGGAGTGAAATGACATTTAAAAAACATTTTAATGTTTACCTTACCTGAGAAATGTCAGTTAAGATTATCATGTAATAATGGAAGGACCATTGCTGTGGAGTGAAATATAAAATTATATTTGAGACCAAAACTGAAATTGATTAGCAGCTTGTTCCTGTTAAAGAAATTCTTTGACGTCTCTGAACCACAGATTCCTCATCTGCAAAATACCTAATAGGTTTGCTGTAAGGATTAAATGAGATACCATGGATAAAGCAGACTATGCTCCCTGCTTCCCTGTCCTGTCCATACTCTTTCTTCTCCATAGAACACCTCCCACCCTATCCTTCTCCACTCTTTCTCTCTCTCTCTCTCTTTCCTCTCTCTCTCTCTCTCTCTTCTCTCTCTCTCTCTGTCACACACACACACCACACACCACAACACACACACACACCCCTTCATGCCTACACAAAACAAGTTAGGTCTCCTTACTATATGTGGCCATTGAACCTAGGGATTACCATACTCTATTAAATATTCATGTTTATTTATGTGTCTTCCTCAGGAAAATATAAGTTCTGTAAGGGAAAGAAGCAATATTTTATTTACCATTGTATACCCATTACCTAGCATAGTGATTTGCTCAATAAATATTTGGATAAATGAATTTCAATAACATATCTAGCGTTATACTGGATTCATAATAGCTCCCTGAAAAGCTATAATGTATCTGTATTTTACTTTCTTTTAAAAAAATCAGCCTGAAATATTTTTAAATTTATAATGTGATGATTTATATGTTAAGTGGAAATGTTTTTATTACTAGTTATCTATATAATGAAGAGAATGTTCCTTATCTGTGTTATTATAGGCTCTAGTAGTTCTGTGTTTACCTTTGCAATTGTATTATATTTTCTTGTAATATTTAAATATACATATTCACTAACTTAAAATTTATTTTATAAGTGTTTTAAGAATTGCATTTTAATGTGCATATTTTATGCCATTCTTCTCCATCTGACATTAGTTAGAAATGAAATAGCAAGTTGAGAAAATACTGTGATTAAGAAGTCCTGTGAAAATTAATAAAATCAAATTATTTTAAGCAATATAGTGAAACTTGCTCTTACCATTTTTTATTTGAAATGTCATAAAAAAATAATAGGCAATAATGATTTTTGGATGGAAGGAATGAAAATAAGAGTGGAATAGAGGCAGTTAATTGGTTTGTTATGTTCTCTGGGCTTACATATTTCTATACATATGCCTATCTAAATAATTTATAAAAGCTTTGCTGATAAATATAATTATAACTATAAATAAGGAGTATAAAAGTTAGAATTAAAGTTTATGTTTATATAAGTCATTGATAATGCTTTCTTTGGAGTCTTATAACCACTTCACTTCTTTCAGGTACAGAGAACTACAACTTAGTACAGAAAGCAAACTAACAGAATTTCTCCATCAAAGTAAATTAAAATCCTTTGAAAGTGAGCGTGTTCAACTTCTACAAGAGGAAACTACAAGAAATCTCACACAGTGCCAATTGGAATGTGAAAAGTATCAGAAAAAATTGGAGGTACATGTACAAGCCTTTTTTCCCAATAATAGCATAGCAAGTAAGCTCCCTAATTACAGAGTTTAAATCAAGCTTTATTTCTCCTGTAGGGCCTGGCACTGTCCGTAACACACACACACACACACACACAAAAAAACCAAAAAACAAGGAAATACATATTTCAGAATGATTGTGTACTAAAAGGACAGGAATTGTTAGAAAACAAAAAAATAGGAAAAGATCTTTCACAATAGCAACCAAAAATATATAATTACTTGGAATATTTTTAATAAGAACAGTACAGAATCTGTATCAAAAAAACTAATAGAACTTCACTAACATGTAAGAAGAAACACCATCTTTCTGAAAGGGAAGATTCAGAATTAAATATTTTTCAATTTTCATTAAGTAATATTATATATTCATTTCTAATCAAATGCTAGCATACTTTTTATAATTCAACAAAGTAATTCTGTAGTACAACTGGAAGGAAAAACAGAATAATCAATTATTTTAAAAAGATATAATGAGAAGAAATATATATCACATTTTAAAACGCATTCTGAGGCAAGAATAATTAAAACACACACAAAGGCCAGGTGCGGTAGCTCACGCCTGTAATCCTAGCGCTCTGGGAGGCCCAGGCAGGCAGATTGCTCGAAACCAGCCTGAGCAACAGCGAGCCCCTGTCTCTGCTAAAAATAGAAAGAAATTAATTGACCAACTAATATATATAGAAAAAATTAGCTGTGCATGGTGGTGCATGCCTGTAGTCCCAGCTACTCGGGAGGCTGAGACAGTGGGATTACTTGAGCCCAGGAGTTTGAGGTAGCTGTGAGCTAGGCTGACGCCATGGCACTCACTCTAGCCTGGGCAACAAAGCGAGACTCTGTCTCAAAAAAATAAAAATAAACACACGCACACAAAAACAGGCCACAGATAGTATCAAAATAAAAAGCCTCAAAACACATTCCATAAATTTAAGAATTTATCCATGGAAAAGATCATATTTCAAATCAGTGAGGAAAATATGGATTGAACAATAAATGGTACTGTGATAATCATTGGAAAATTTAGAGAAAATAGTTAAATCTATACATCACACCATGTAGCATAATAAAACTTAGATTAATTACTAAGCTGAACATATAGAGATCAAATTTTATCTTGTGTTCATTTCGGGAATCAATCTGTTAAACAATAAAAGCAAGGAAAAAAATCATGTAGTAAAAATAAAACCTAAACATTTTTAAAAAAGTCTGAATAATATTGAAGACAAAATGGAAAGTGGAAAATAATATTTGTGTTATGTATGACAAAGGCCCTATGTTCTTAATTTTAAAAGATATTTTATCAAGAGGACATGGCTATTTAGCAGTTGAAATGTAACTAGTGCACTGAGGAACTAAGTTTCTTATTTTAATTAATCTTAATTAAGTTAAATCTAAATTTAATTATCTACATGTGACTAGTAGCCCTGGTATTGAACTGCATGCTCTAGTCTAAGTAATTAACCAGATCACACACATTCTTACTGCTGGGCAGTGGTAAAATTTGAAAACTTTTCTCTTTAGTTTTAGCATAAAAGAAAAATGGAAACTCTTTTCTGCCCAAATAGGATTTCTTATAGCAGTATTGAGTAGTAATTAGGCCTGTGGGCTTTGGGGTCAAGAGATCTAAGATTTGAATACCAATTAGTCATTGCTTTCTGGATAAATTATTCATTTTCTTTGAGCCTCGGTTGCTTCATCTGCCAAATGGGAATAATAATAGCAACTGCTTCGTAACTTTGTTATAGAATCTGTTTGACACATCTAAAGCATCCATTTATGCTTAGCAACTATTCATTGAAATTCTCAGAATATTTTGCTTTGATGCTATAGAATTTTGTTTTAGGTACATTAGGAAATACTAGGAAAGTGAAAGCATTCCTTCCTAAAAGATAAATATTTGTTGGATAAAAAATATAGATTTTTTTTTTCTTTTCAGATCCTGCAATAGTGTGCCAGCCTGTAAACTCAAGCATTTTACTCTTCCAGTTTTCCTTTCTGTATATGAAAATTTCTTTTACAGTTATGAAAATATATAATTGTAGACCATTAAGCAGAAGCTAAGAGGCAAATAAACTGAAAGTTCATCAATTAGAAGCCTTTCCTATTTAAAATAAATCAGATATTAAAGCATTTATCCCAAATTATAATATAAGGGAATTAGATCATAGGATAAATATCATAAAATACAACTATTTGTCTTTAATCTGAAAATATGTTTTCTGTATTTCCAAAATATATCCAAAATACCAAAATATTTTAGTGGTATTAAATTGATATTTTAAGACCTTATATGAAATATTAATTTCATATTACTATAATTATGAAATATAAAATATGTGATATATTGAATATATTTCATTTTGAATATATGAAATATAATTTATTATATTAGTAATATTAGGTGAAAACAGCCCTTTATACAACTGTATGCATTAGATTTTAAAAGATGCATGAAGTGGGAAAAACAGATTTTGAAAAAATACACCATAAAATTAATAGTGGTTGTGATTGATTAGCAAATTGGCCTTGAGTGATTTTTATGTCTTATTTCTAGTATTTTATTCCAGGAAAATTAAATTACTTAAGGTCACACAGCTATTAATAGTAATTGACTGAACTGTGAACTCACATCTAACCAACCAGTTTTTAAATCCCATACTTTTAACCACAACAATATTTAAATAGCAATAAAATATTTGCAACAATAATCCCACAAAGATTATGCTTTTGAAAAGTACTCTGATTAGTAAAACTAAGCTTCACAAGATAAAGCATCTCAGAAAATAAACCCTTAGTGAAAAATGTAAAAGTAGTATTAAATATATACATATATTTAAAAAGATACAAGCAAAAACTGTAGATGGTATCTACTTCCTGAGCAAATTGGTGCTCAGCATTTAAAACTCTTTCATATACCTTCCTCAGGACACTGCTGCAGTCATAATCTGTTGCAGTTGATTCTCCCACACATTCTATTTTATTGTCTTTGGCTGGTTGCAGACCAAATCAATTTTATGACCTCCAAAAGACTGCAACTTACAGTTTGAAAACCACTTTCCCATAGGCCTATCTACTTGGATGCAGGTGACTAGTAATTATTTTGTTTTGTTTAAAGGTCTTAGATGGAGATACACCTTTGTAAAAATGTTACTGTTCTAAAAACTCTGGTTGATAAAACTGAGACTTGGGGGAATATCTTTATATTTTCTGCCTGTGTTAAATGAGGCCTTGAGAGGACAGGGAATATTTATTTATCATTGTGTCACAAATGCCTAACAGTGCCTCTCTCTTAGAGGATGCTTGACAAATAGCTAATGAATGATTGAATGGTTTCATTAACACTAATCCACTACCATTGTTTGAATCTTTTTTTTGAATTCCAGAAAGTGTTTCTAAGACAATTTTTTAATTTATTTTTTAATTTCAGACTATTACAGGGCTACAAATGTTTTGGTTACAGGGATTGCTTTTATACTGCTTGAGTCAAAGTTATAAATGTGCCCATCACCCAGGTAGTGTACATTGTACCCATTCGGTATGAATTCACCCATCCTCTCCTCCCTACTCCCACCTACATGATATCCGTTGAGTTTTACTTCCATCCGTGCACATGAGTGCTAATCAGTTAATTCCAGTTTAACAGTGAGTACATGTGGTGTTTGCTTTTCCATTCTTGCACTTCCATCCAGATTGTTGCAAAAGGTATTAATTCATTTTTTTATGGTTGGATAGTACTCCATGGTATATATATATATACCACATTTTATTAATCCACTAATGAATTGATGAGCACTTAGATTGATTCTACATCTTTGAGATTGTGAATCGTGCTGCAATGAACATTCTAGTGCAAGTGTCTTTTTGATAAAATGACTTTTTTTCCTTAGGGTAAATACCCAGTAGTGGGATTGCTGGGTCAAATGGTAGGTCTACTTTTAGTTCTTTGAGGAATCACTCTACTATTTTCCATAAAAGTTGCACTAGTTTGTGGTCCCACCAACAGTGTATAAGCGTTCCTTTTCTCTCCACATCCATGCCAGCATGTATTGTTTTAGGACTTTTTGATGAAAGCCATTCTCATTGGGGTTAGGTGATATCTCATTGTGGTTTTGATTTGCATTTGTCTGATGATTAGTGATGTTGAGCCTTTTTTCATGTTTATTGGCGATTAATCTATCTTCTTTTGAAAAGCTTCTGTTCATGTCTTTTGCCCACTTTTTAATGTGATTATTTGATTTTTTTTCTTGCTGATTTGCTTGAATTCTTCATAAATTCTGGATATTAGCTCTTTATCAGATACATAGCATGCAAATATTTTCTCCCATCCTGTAGGTTGTCTATTTGCTCTGTAGATTATTTCCTTGGCTGTCCAGGAGCTTTTTAATTTAATCAAGCCCAATTTATTTATTTTTACTGTTGCTCTGATTGCCCTTGGGGTCTTCTTCATAAATCGTTTGTCTAGGCCAATATCTAGAAGTGTTTTTCTGATATTTTCTTCTAGAATGTTTATGGTTTCATATCTTAGGTTTAAACCCATTATCCATCTTTGAATTAATTTTTGTGAGTGGATTCTGTTTCAATCTTCTATATGTGGAAAATCTTCCAATTTTCCCAGCCCCATTTATTGAATAGGGATTCTTTTCCCCTGTGTTTGTTTTTGTCTGCCTTGTCAAAGATCAGATGGCAATATGAGGATGGTTTTATATCTAGGTTTTCTGTTCTGTTCTGTTGGTCTGTATCTATTTTTGTGCCAGTACCATGGTGTTTCGGTTACTATAGCCTTGTAGTATAGCTTAAAGTCCTGTAAAGTGATGCCTGAAGATTTATTTATTTTGTTTAAGATTGCTTTGGCTATTCAGGCTCTTCTCTGGTTCCAAATGAAGTATAGCATTTTTTCTAGATCTGTGAAAAATTACGTTGGTGTTTTGTTGGGGAATGCATTTAATCTCTGAATCGCTTTGGGTAGTATGAACATTCTAACAATATTGATTCTGCCAATCCATGAGCATGATATGTTTTTCCATTTGTTTACATCATCTGCAATTTCCTTCCTTAATGATTCATAGTTCTCTTTGTAGAGATCTTTCAACTCCTTAGTTAAATATATTCCTAGATATTTTATTTTCTTTGTAGTTATTGTGAAAGGTATTGAGTCTTTGACTTGATTCTCAGCTTCATTGTTGTTGGTGTATAGGAATGCAACTTATTTGTATACATTGATTTTATAACCTGAGACTTTGCTAAATTTATTTATCAATTCCAGGAATCTCTTGGTGGAATCTTTGGGATTTTCTAGATATAAAAGCATATATCATCAACAAAGAGGATAGTTTGACCTCCTCTTTCCCCATTTGGATACCCTTAATTTCCTTTTCTTGCCTGATTGCACTGGCTAGGACTTCCAGCGCTATGTTGACTAGAAGTGGTGACAGTAGGCATTCTTGTCTTGTTCCATTTCCGAGTGGAAATGCTTTCAACTTTTTCCCATTTAGTATGACGTTGGCTGTGGGTTTGTCATATGAGGCTTTTATAATTTTAAGATATGTTCCATCTATGCCTATTTTGTTACTAGTTTTTATCATAAAAGGGTGCTGAATTTTATTGAATGCTTTTTCTGCATCTATTGAGATGACCATATGATCTTTGTTTTTGCTTCTGTTTGTGTGGTGAATATTTAAGGATTTACGTATGTTGAACCATCCATACATCTCTGAGATGAAGCCCACCTGTTCCTGGTAGATTTTATACATATATATATATATTTTTTTTTTTTTAGATTATATTTTTGATGTGCTGCTGAATTCAGATTGCTAGAATTTTATTAAGGATTTTTGCATCTATATTCATAAAAGGGATATTGGTCTATAGTTTTCTTTTTTTCTTGTGTCCTTTACTGGCTTTGGTATCAAGGTAACACTGGTTTTGTAGAATGAGTTGGGGAGGATTCCTTCCTTCTCAATGTTATGGAATAATTTCAGCAGTATAGGTACCAGTTCCTCTTTCTAGGTGATAAAATTTAGCAGTGAAACCATCTGGTCCAGGACTTTTTTTTTTTATCGCTACTTCAATTAGTTGCTCATGATTGATCTGTTCAGAAGTTCTGTCTCTTCCTGATTGAACCTTGGGAGGTTGTGTGTTTCCAGGAATTTGTCCATTTTCTCCACATTTTCAAGTTTATGTTCATAGAGTTTTATATTGAGTCGATATTTTATATTTCTGTAGCATCTGTTGTAATATCTCCCTTTTCATTTCTAATTGGGTTTATTTTGGGTCCTTTCTTTTCTATCTCTTGTTAATCTAGAGAAAGGTCTATCAATTTCAAAGAACCAATTTTTTGTTTCATTAATCTTTTGTATTTTGTTTTTTATTTCATGTACTTTTGCTCTGACCTTAGTTATTTCTTTTCTTATGCTGAGTTTGTGTTTAATTTGCTCTTACCTCTTTAGTTCCTTGAAACAATTCATTAGATTGTTGATTTGTGATCTTTCTATCTTTTTTATGTCAACCCAGTTATTAATTGGCAAAGGTTCCCAAAACACTGGCTTTATATGTTTGTCTCTTCTCTGTAGTTTTAATTTTTTATTGATTGAGACAGAGTCTCACTCTGTTACCCACACTGGAGTACAGTGGTGCATTCATAGCTCCACCTTGAACTCCTGGACTCAAGCAGTCCTCCCGCCTCAATCTCCCAAAGTGCTGGGATTATAGGCATGAGCCACCACCCCCAGCCAAAATTTCTTCTTAAAACAATACTTTATAAAAATTCCATCTTTAACATTTTGATTCTTTATCTCTTTAAATATTCATTTCTGCAGGTTTTTCTTTGTATGTGTGTGTGTTTTTTGTTTGTTTGTTTTTGAGCAAAGTAGGGTAGAAATGAAAAAGTATCAGCTCTGCTTTGGGAGTAGTCATTGAACACTACATTTACTGATCCTTTTTTTTTTTTGACAGTGGAATTAATAATTGTCATCAGCCACCAGATTCTTAACGAATTACATCCCAACATAATGAATTTCATGAAAGCCACAGATTCAATGAGCAGTGATTTTGTTATAAGGAATTAATAAACTTCTAGAAAATACATTCCTAGCCTGTAAGAAGAAAGAAGAAATAATACTAAAACATGAATTTTGTTTTTCTGACCAAATCAGAGCCACTAGAAATCATACTAAAAATATTATTGCTGTGTTATTCCTTGTCCACCCTCCAAAGGAATGTATTTGAAGTGTGGGGAATGATGTTTTGTTTACTTTCTGGGGAAATTTTACTGAAAATTAAAGGAAATGACATGGAGTGAGTTAAGGAAAATTATATTATAATTTCTGCTTATTAAGAACTGTAAATAGGTCTTCATTATCTTCTGTATCTTCTTTTTCTAGGATGAACTTTATGTCATTAGAGAAAATAAGTTGTCTTCAAAAGTGTTTAATTATAGACAATTTAGGATAATTAAATCAGTGGAACTCTATTTCCATGTGCTATTTAATATAGAGTTCTCATAATTATATTTCTTATTATAGTAATAGTATTTTGCAACACTTACTATGTTGTAGACATTCTGCTAAACAGTATAAATTTATCATCTTATTTAATCCTTCCAACAGTGTTTTAAGGTAGGCCTAGAAAGAATAAATAATTGCCTAAGACCACAGCTAACAAGTGTCAAAAGCATATTAAAATCCAAATCTTTCTCTCTCCAAACCTTATTCTTAACCATAGTATGCTTTTGTCTCTCAGAAACAGTGTATTACTTATACTGTGTTAGGAAGCAGGTATAGCACCACTCCATAATTTAGTCTGTACTAATAAATAAACTTTGTAGGTAATTGGAATTTACTTTAAGCATCAAAACATTCCTTTGTCACTAGAAGCATCTCTTTTTCAGTTAATTCATTATTATCATTATAGTGTTTCCTTCAATGAGTTACGATTGAAGAGTAAAAAACTTTTTGCTCTTACACAGAATGACTCCAATTTCCATGTCTTTTGCATCTTATTTTTAATAAATTTTTTTATCCTCTTTTCTTTACAAAGGCAATTTCTAATACCTCTCCAAGCAGCACTCCATATATACTGTTTCATTTGCTGCTTTGAAATTATGACTGTTCAGGAAACCAAAAATGTCACTGAAACCGTGGTAAGAGTAGGTTAAATAAGCTCTGATGGAAAACAGTGGACTTATTAAGAGTGTATCACTTTTACACACAGCTTTGTAAGCTTTTTTCAAATAGCTATGATTGGCAGATAAGTGACCCTCAGGTAAGTATGTTGTAATTTTTGAATTCTAATAAGAAAATGATAATCTTACTCCCATAACCATGAATTTTAAGTTCATTTTTTATTCAATTTATATAATAATGATAAGATACTCCATAATTTTCAGTTAAAAACAACCAAATTATTTACCTTAGAAATAAATGTATTTTAATTCCTCATTATTCATCTCAGTTGAGCTTTCTCTTAATATTTAAAAAACTAAAAAGAGAAAAAATATAAATATATCTTTGTCTCATTTTTTTTGTCTTAACTGTTAACCTATTTAATTCTGCCTTTGTAATTCTTTTCTTCCACCATTAGGTTTTGACTAAAGAATTTTATAGTCTCCAAGCCTCTTCTGAAAAACGCATTACCGAACTTCAAGCACAGAACTCTGAGCATCAGGCAAGGCTAGACGTTTATGAGAAACTGGAAAAAGAGCTTGATGAAATAATAATGCAAACTGCAGAAAGTAAGTCTCCCCCCCACCACCAAGTACAACTTTTTTTTTTTTTCTGGCAACAATAGATACCTGGTATCATTTCTAAAATGACTTTAGTATATTTTTTTAAATATAATTGGCAACCATTTTTTAAAGAATATTCCACATTTTAAATAAGGTTCATCTTAATCTCTGCAGTTGTAATCAAAAAAGAAATAGGTTAAATAGGATAGATCTATCTTTTTGTTTAATCTACTCATTCAACAATTATTAAGTATTTACATCTGCCAGGAGCAGGAGTTCATGCAGATAACTCTTGCCTCATAGAGGTTTCTAGTCTAGTCCACCAGGAGAGACAAACATATTAACAAATAATTGATGTTGTAAGAGTAAGTGCTATAAACAGTAGATATGCAGTTCTTTGTCAAAATACAGAATAGGTCATGAATTAATTCCACCGAGGTGAGAAGTATCTAAAAGGGTTGATGACACTGGAATGAGTCTAGAAGGAAGAATAGACATTCATTGTATGGGCTGGACATGGTGGCTCACACCTGTAATCACAGCACTTTGGGAGGCTAAGGTAGCAGAATCACTTGAGGTCAGGAGTTCAAGACCAACCTGGGAAACATAGCACCACACCAACTCTACAAACAAAAGTGTTTTTTAATTAACCAGACATGGTGGCATATGCTTATAGTCCTAGCTACTTAGGAGGCTGAGACAAGAGGATCACTTGAGCCCAGGAGTTCCAATCTGTGGTGTGCTGTGATCACACTTGTAACTAGCCACTACACTCCAGCCTGGGCAATATAGTGAGACCCCAGCTCTTAAAAATAAGAACAAGGTTAGAAGACTTATACAGCCTCACTTCAAGACTTAACTATAAAGCTGCAATGTCAAGCTAGTATAGTACGGGTTTACGGAAAGACGCATACAGCAACAAAACAGCCTAGAGAACCCAGAAACAGATCCATACTTAAATGATAATTTGATTTTTAACAAAGACAGCAAAGCAATCAAGTGAACATTTTTATGGAAATGAACTGCCATATACCATTAAGAAATCAGTAGCCAAGACACAGACTCAGAAAAAATAATGGCAATTTTATATGTGACAAAGGAATGGTATCCAAAATAAGAAAACACCTAGGAGAAAATACTCACAAAATATAAATTAGACAAAGAACTGGTATCGAAGTGTAGTAGGCTGAAAATTGCCCTTGCAAAGATATCCATGTCCTAATCTCTGGAACCTGTGAATATTTTACGTTAGAAGTCAACCTCTGAAGCCGGAAAAGGCAAGGAAACAGATTCTCCCTTAGAGCCTCCAGATGGAACTAGCCCTGCTAACACTTTGACTTAAGCTATTGAAACAGGTTTTTGGACTTACGACCACTAGAAGTGAAAGACAAATTTGTACTGTTTAGGCCATAAAGTCTGGTAATATGTTACAGCAGCAATAGGACATTTTTTTTTTTTAAGAGACAGAGTCTTGCTCTGTCACCCAGGCTGGTGTGTAGTGGCACTATCTTATCTCACTATAGCCTCAAATTCCTAGGTTCAAGCAATCCTCCTGCCTCAGCCTCCCAAGTAGCTGGGCCTACAGGTGTGTGCCACCAGGCCTGGCTAATGTTTTTATTTTTTGTAGAGAAAGGCAATTATGTCGCCCAGGCTGGTCTCAAGCTCCTGTGCTCAATTTCTGGTGAGCCACTACATCCAGCCCAACAATAGGAAATTAATACATCAGAATATAAAGAGAGCTCATACAACTCAAGGATAAAAAGAAAATAGTCCTATTTAAAAAATGGCCAAAGGTTTGAACAAACACTTCATAAAGGAAGATATGTGAATGTCCAATCAGTTCAGTAAAAGTATTCAACATTATTACTCATAGTGGCAGTGCAGAATAAAAGCCCAGTGACACTTTGGGAGGCCGAGGTGGGAGGATAACTTGAGGCCAGGAGTTTGAGACCAGCCTAGGCAATATCGTGACTCTGTTTCTACAAAAATTAAAAAAATTAGGCTGGGCGCGGTGGCTCACACCTGTAATCCTAGCACTCTGGGAGGCCGAGGCAGGCGGATTGCTCCAGGTCAGGAGTTTGAAACCAGCCTGAACAAGAGCGAGACCCTGTCTCTACTATAAATAGAAAGAAATTAATTGGCCAACTAATATATATAGAAAAAATTAGCTGGGCATGGTGGCTCATGCCTGTAGTCCCAGCTACTTGGGAGGCTGAGGCAGGAGGATCGCTTGAGCCCAGGAGTTTGAGGTTGCTGTGAGCTAGGCTGATGCCACGGCACTCACTCCAGGGTCCCAAAGTGAGACTCTGTCTCAAAAAAAAAAAAAAAAAATTTAAAAATTTAGCTAGGCGTGGTGAAAAGAGAGGCTGAGGCAGGAGGATCACTTGTGCCTAGGAGTTTGAGGTTGCAGTGAGCTATGCTGACACCACTATACTCTACCCAAACAACGGAGTGAGACCCTGTCTCAGAAAAAACAAAAAAAATGCCTAAGGAGATACCACAAGACACCCACCAGCATGGCTAAAATTAGAAAGACTGGCCATACCAAATGTTGGTGCAAATGTGAAGCAACTGGCAGTTTCTTATAAAATAATCAAATAGCCTTATCAGTGATCCAGAAATTCCATTCCTAATTATTTACCCAAGAGAAAAGAAAGCATATGTACGTAAAAAGATTTCTACTAGAATGTTCGTAGGAGCTTTTTTCATAATAGAAAAATACTAGCAGCAGCCCAGGTGTTTGTCTTAATGGTTAAGAAAATGGTTAAACAAACCATCATACATTCATAAAGTAAATTACTACTTAAAAAAAAGGAACAATTTACTAAACAACATGGATGAATTTGAAAAACATTATTTCAATTATAGTAACAATAATCCAAATTTTAAAAACAATATAGTATAACAACTATTTATATAACATTTACATTATATTAGGTATTATAAATAATCTAGAGATGATACAAAGTACACAAGAAGATGTGCATAGGTTATATGCAATTACACCATTTTATATAAGGGACTTGAGCATCTATTATACATTTTGGTATTTGTGGGGGTCCTAGAACCAGTCCTCCATGAATACCATGGGACAACTATATTCTTGATCTCTTAATAAAGTTTAAGTTTTGTCTAATCATCCTATGAGCTTTTGTCAACCTTCTTTCTTCCTTCATTCTATCTGCAGTGCCTCATCTCATCCCCACACCTGCTCAATTATCTAGAATCCAAGTTATTTTCCCTATTGCTGTTGTGGACTATATCTCGATTGGATTATTACTGTAACTTGTTAAGAATTCTCAATGTACTAGTCTAAGCCATCCTCTTCCCTATTATTGGAAATTTTTTTGGTAATATTAATATCAATAACAAAAATCCGGGCCGGGCATGGTGGCTCACACCTGTAATCCCAGCACTCTGGGAGGCCGAGGCGGGTGGATTGCTCAAAGTCAGGAGTTCAAAACCAACCTGAGCAAGAGCGAGACCCCATCTCTACTATAAATAGAAAGAAATTAATTGGCCAACTAATATATATAGAAAAAATTAACTGGGCATGGTAGCGCATGCCTGTAGTCCCAGCTACTTGGGAGGCTGAGGCAGCAGGATTGCTTGAGCCCAGAAGTTTGAGGTTGCTGTGAGCTAGGCTGACGCCACGGCACTCACACTATCCTGGGCAACAAAGCGAGACTCTGTCTCAAAAAAAATAATAATAATAACAAAAATCCATTGGTCATGTCACCTTCCTTTATTAATCTCTGTTAGTTTCTTGTTGACCATAGAATAAAATCCAAACTTCTTTGCCTAACCAACAGGACTCTAGTTCCATTCACTATTGGAACTAAGCCTACCTTTCTACAACTGCTGTCCTCCAAACCAAATCCATGCTAAAACTTCACATACTTCTCAAGTCTATGCCTCTGCACATGCTGCTGCCTCTTGCATGTTCTCTCTGAAAGCCAATCTCCCCATACTTTCCTTATGCTTTCTAGCATGGGAAATAATAGCACTCCCATATAGTTGTTCCATGCTCTGCTTCTAAGACATGTTGTTCACATCTCTTTAGTAGCATTTACCATGTTATATAGTACCTTATTTCTATAATTAAATTCCTGCTAGAATAGTAACTTTATGAGTTATTGATCCATTTAATCCAGATTTAGCATGTCCATCAATATCTGATGGGTTTTGAGATGTTAACTAAATTTACCCCCCTTCTCTGAATTTAGAAATATTTAAGAGAGACATTAGTCAAATACATATCTAAATGTTAGCTATAGTTCTGGTAGAGCCAAATTGGAGAATTCCTCTTGGATCTAGAGTTATCTGATAGCTGGTAACAATATTGACAATGGCATGTATCATGATCACGTGTCCCTAACAACTAATAATCCTACCTTTGAAACCTGATCCTGGTTTACTGTGAAAAATAGGGACAAAATTAAAGGAAGACACTTATGAATTTTCTAAAATCTTTACTGCAGAAGGAACAATCACTAAATATGTACATATTATATTGATAGGCATACAAATAGTCAAGCTTCATTTGTGGGTGTATAATATATGGTTTTTTAAAAAAAATCTGAGATAGTCCTCAAAGTAAGTTTCTCTTTTTAACACTAAAATAATGGCTGCTGATAAACAATATCATAAAAGTTTTTATATGTCATTGACTACTTTGAGCTAGTAAAACTTTAGTTTTTATGGCCTTTGATGAAATATCTTTTAACTCCAGCTTGCAGTAAACTGTCATTACATTTAAACTTTTTATCCATAAAATGTAAACCTATTAGTTAAAATTCTTTTTGGGGAGTGGTGAGATAATAGCTGAATTTAGAAGTATTTAATAAATTATTTTTCTCTGAATTTATATACAATTTAAAAAAATTAAAGCTTTCATTTCATGCTTAGGACTATGCATTTTCTTTACGGAGTAGCCTACGTAACTGCATAATTTTGTTACTGTAAGTTATAATAAAGTTATTTTGATAACATAATCATAATTAAAAATAGATTTCTTTTATCAAGAAGAAAATTAATGAAATTGATATTATCGTTGTCATCTTACATAATATATATTTCATCAAAAAGCCTTCGAGTCCTTGAGAGTAGTACAGTATATGTATTATTGTGCTTTTTAACAGAAAGCTTAGCATGTCATATGATACAGTCCCTTACACCTTTCCAAAATAGATGGAACAAAATCTAAGCAAGGATATACTTTGAGAAATATGCTTCTACCCCCTTAATATTTTAAAATAAAATTAAATTTAAAAAAAAATCAGGAAGGAGGCCCATGGCACATGCTCAGACCAGGAGAGTGTCTTGCTTTCAATGCCTGGGTTAAAAACATTCATACCAGTGTGCTAGGGAGACACTAATGAACACTCTCGATTCATTTAGCTAGTTTAGTGCTACTCACAATACACATAGATGTCATTTAATTGCAGGTGTCCTTCCCTCATTTTTTCAAAAATCTGATGTGTCAAGTTTCATGTGTGCTAGTAAATAAATAAAAGAGAAGGTGGTAGTTAAAAAAAGAGAGAGAGAGAAAGAAAGAAAGAAATATGCTTTTACTTACAAATGGGCTGTTTGAGATTACACATTAGCCTTCTTTAATGTTCTTATGCTCCCTAATATATTATTATAACCTCTTATTTTCATTTCTGCTGTGTTTTTTAAGGGAAAAAAATGTTTCACATTATACACTTTAATATTTTGCAGTTGAAAATGAAGATGAGGCTGAAAGGATTCTTTTTTCCTATGGGTATGGTGCTAATGTTCCCACAACAGCCAAAAGACGACTAAAGCAAAGGTAAAATCAATATATATTTAGTTTACTTATCTACTCAAGCTAAATGTAATTACATTATGCTTTTTGATAATGTGCTGAGCTGAATGACAAAGTAAAGTTACTTTATTCTTAGTATGCATAAATATTAAGTTGCTTACAAAATAAAACACTGTAAATAATAATAATATACTTCATGTATATTTAAATGAGTTTAATGGTCATTAGAACAGAAGTGCACATTAAAGTTTTCGTAGAATCAGATTCAGTGATAAGGATGCCATTTTTATTCTGTTTTCGCATTAATTTCAGATAAGTTACAAATGCTTTGTATCAACAGTTTTCAGGCCTGGTGCGGTGGCTCACGCCTGTAATCCTAGCATTCTGGGAGGCCAAGGAAGGCGGATTGCTGGAGGTCAGGAATTCGAAACCAGCCTGAGCAAGAGCGAGACCCCCTCTCTACTATAAATAGACAGAAATTAATTGGCCAACTAATATATATAGAAAGAATTAGCTGGGCATGGTAGCACATGCCTGTAGTCCCAGCTACTCAGGAGGCTGAGGCAGAAGGATTGCTTGATCCCAGGAGTTTGAGGTTGCTGTGAGCTAGGCTGACCCCATGGCACTCACTCTAGCCTGAACAACAAAGCGAGACTCTGTCTCAAAAAAAGAAAAAAGTTTTCAGGTTAAAATTAATTATGCTTCCTTTTCTTTCTTTATTTCTTGTTTTTATTCATCTGCCTACATTTTTTGATATACACATTAGAGAGAGTAATATGAAATAGCATATATATTATGATAGAAACTATAAAAGTCTTTATGAAGACCAAGAAAATTTTTGGAAGATCCACTAGATCTTGTAAGATACTGCTTAAGGGTATAGTTGGGCCAGGCTCGGTGGCTCATGCCTGTAATCCTAGCACTTTGGGAGGCCGAGGTGAGAGGATTACTTGAGGTCAGGGGTTCTAGACCAGCCTAAACAATAGAGAGACCCCCGTCACTAAAAATAGAAAAATTAGCCGAGTGTGGTGGTGCACACCTGTAGTACCAGCTACTCAGGAGGCTGAGGCAGGAAGTATCACTTGAGCCCAGGACTTTGAGGTTGCAATAAGCTTTGAGGATGCTACTGCACTATAGCCCAGGCAACAGAGTGAGACCCTATCCCACCCCCTCAAAAAAAGTACAGTCATGCTGAGCGCGGTGGCTCACGCCTGTAATCCTAGCATTCTGGGAGGCCAAGGCGGGCGGATTGCTCGAGGTCAGGAGTTTGAAACTAGCCTGAGCAAGAGTGAGACCCCGTCTCTACTATCAATAGAAAGAAATTAATTGGCCAACTAATATATATAGAAAAAATTAGCCGGGCATGGTGGCACATGCCTGTAGTCCCAGCTACTCAGGAGGCTGAGGCAGAAGGATTGCTTGAGCCTAGGAGTTTGAGGTTGCTGTGAGCTAGGCTGACGCCATGGCACTCACTCTAGCCTGAGCAACAAAGCGAGACTCTGTCTCAAAAAAAGAAAAAATAAGTACAGTCAGACCTCCATATCTGTGGGTTCTGCCTCTATGGATTCAACCAACCACTGAATGAAAATACTAAAAAAAAAAAAGAAGAAGAAGAAGAAGAAGTTAATGGTTACATCTGTCCTGAACATTTATAAACTTTTTTCCTTGTCATTATTCCCTGCAAAATATAGTATAGCAACTATTTATATAGCATTTATATTGTAAGAGGTATCATAAGTAATCTAGAGATGATTTGAAGTATATGAGAGGATATGCATAGATTATATGCAAATACCCCACCAGTTTTATATAAGGTACTTGAGCATTCATGGATTTTGGTATCAGCGCAGGGTGCAGGGCAGGGCAGGGTAGGATTATTCTGGAACCAATCCCCTGTGGATACCAAGTGACAACTGTATGCTAACAGAAAACTGTACCTATATATTAATCAATTTTCTAGTTGACCTGCCTGATTTTTTTTTTTTCCTAACTCTTCTCTGCCACCCAAATTCATTCTGTTTGTACCTGTTTCCTACTGCCCCATTTGCTACCATGTCAAATCTGAATGTTGCTGTCAGACTTCCAGGTCCCTCCATAATGTGGCCTTACCTCTCTCTCCAGTGTTATTTTCCTCTCTACCCAAAATGAGGGTCAATATATCTCTCTGCCTGTAGACATCTATTTCTCCGTACCACACAGCACAGCATTGCTCTTATCTCATAGCTATCATTTCCTATGTAATTTCCCCAGCTACATGAAATATTCTTCAAGGTCAGCACCTACATCTTATTCTTGTTTATTCTTCACTATCTGTACCAAGCTCAGTGCAAGATACCTAGTAGAATTGTTTTCTCAAAACAATTGAGTATTTGAGGATTCAAAGCTCCTTGTTTTTATTTAAATTGATTTAGACATTTAGAGACATTACACACTAAATAAGAAAAGCAATCCATCTTAACTCCAGTACTTTTGTAGTAACTTTGAAGTGATGACTCAGAGAATAAAATGTCTTTATAGCTATCTAAAGTGATGTAAGACATAAACCACTTTTTAGGAAATAAGAAAAAGATGCTTTGAACTTACTTCTCTTACCGGTTAAACTAAATATAAGCCAAATTTAGATCAAGGCTAGATGAATAGAAAATATGAAAATATTTGTGGCTGGACTAGTTAATTTTGTCTGGTGAAAATTCAGCTATTTTAAAATATATATTATTTGAAACAGTTGTAATTCTGCCCCATTCCAAGTCCCTCAAAAAGTCACTATGGGTGACCTAGAATATTTTGTAATTTTCAGCATATCTCTGTTTTTGCATCTGATGTTGCTAGGGAAGAATAGAAACATAATTTCTTGAGTAAGAGACTTCTCTATCAGTGGTAAATGATAGACAAAATACTAAAAATTGAAGTTTAATGGATAAAATCCATTCTTTTCCCTATTTTAGCATCTGAATCCTTGAAAAGAATCTTTGTTACAAGAAAAAAAGAATTTTGTTATTCTAAGCTTGCTTTCTTCAGCCCCCAATGATTTCGGATTTCTCTGAAATTGAAAGCAATTATTACTATTACACCTTACTATTTTTTAAATAATTTTTAAAAGCAGAGGCTTTAATATTTAAAGTGAAGGTTTAAGGAACTAAACTGATTCATATTCCAAATAATCTTAACTGTCCAAATATTTCTAAAGATTCTATCACTGAGCTATCTGTGTGCCTTGAACAAGTGCCTAATGGGCATGCTATTAATATCCCCTGCCAGCTGGTGCCAGGCATTCTTCTCATGGTGAGCCAGCGGGTTATTTTGAGGAAGTGCTTCTCAGGTCATCTAAACTAAGTGAAGGGAAAGTAAGTCTAGATATTCAAAGAAGACATTTATGCATTCCTTTACTCATTCAGTCAACAACTTTTATTGAGTGCCTACTGTATGTACAAAATTGACTAGTGACACAAGAAAATCCCAGTTTAGGGTCTGACACATTTCTGAAGTTCACAAAGTCCACATTTGATTTCTCAGTGAATATTTGTAAAGAAGGCAATGGCTTTGTGCTCTCTTTATTTAGGAACAAAAGCAACATAGCCTTTGAGAGAATCTATATTAATCCTTTACATTCGAAGTTAAAGCAATGGAGCTGGACAGTAGTATATGCCTGTAATCCCATCTATTGGGGAGGCTGAGGCAGGAGGATCACTTGAGCCCAGAAGTTTGAGGCTGAAGCCCACTATGATTATGCCTGTGAATAGCCACTGCAGTCCAACCTGGACAACATAGCAAGACTACATCTCTTAAAAAAAGAAACTAAAGCCTGTAATCCTAGCACTCTGGGAGGCCGAGGCGGGTGGATTGCTCGAGGTCAGGAGTTTGAAACCAGCCTGAGCAAGAGCGAGACCCCGTCTCTACTATAAAAATAGAAAGAAGTCAATTGGCCAACTAATATATATAGAAAAAATTAGCCGGGCATGGTGGCACATGCCTGTAGTCCCAGCTACTCATAAGGCTGAGGCAGCAGGATTGCTTGAGCCCAGGAGTTTGAGGTTGTTGTAAGCTAGGCTGACGCCATGGCACTCACTCTAGCCTGGACAACAAAGCAAGACTCTGTCTCAAAAAAAAAAAAAAAAATGAAATTAAAGCAATGGAAACTTAAGGTGAATTATAAAGCAACTCAGAACAGTAAATGAAATATTTACAAAATATAGTTTTCATTGTATAGCAGCATATACCAAAATATATTAAAATTTCAAAGGAACTTATTTACCAACTACTATACAATAGATTCCATTCATACTAAATTTGATTTAAAATCACACATATTCAACAGCCAGAATTAGATATTTTAGGGTATCACTTAATTGGAAATAGGTTTCTGATTATAAAAATGTTTATTTTATAACATTAGGAAAATTACTGGTAATCCTATCATCCAAAATAACCAAAATTTAAACAGATATCTATATTTTCTTATTTATTTAGGATATTATTGGGTGCAACTTAGTAGTCTAATTTTTTTCATGGAATTCCATCCTGAACATTTTCTTAGGTTATTGAATATTCTTCAGCTTCAGAAACATCATTTATAATGGTTATCCACAACTTTTAATTTTATAGGATTTCTGCTTTTGAGTCCCATATGTGTGTTAATAAATTGGATAGCCAGTGAAATTTTTCATTAGTTGCCTAATGCTACCCAAGAAATACTATAAAATTAAAATGATAAAATGGATATAAAGTTCACTATATAGTGCCTGACCTGAAGGTGTTCAATAAATGCTAGTTTATTATAGCAATTAATGTGTTCTTAAAGTAAATTGAGTAGTAAATTTTAGAGGAAAAACCAGGGTTTCCAAAACCTTTCACTAGGTGTAATTTGAGTTTTTATTTAAAACAACTTTGTTTTCAAATTTTAAAGAAGCCTGTTGAAATAATTAGTAGAGACACCTCCTGGACATGAAACTAGTTTTGAGATTCACTTTCTTTGATATCAGTTTCTTAAGACATAATACTATAATACCAATTTCCTATAAAGTAGT